TTCAAGTCACAGGCTATCCAAGACCACGATAAGCCCTGTCTATGTGAATCACATAGTTTTTTATATGCTTGACATTGGCAACTCGGAAATATGTTTTTGTCATGTTATTTTTATAATGCCTTTGACAGGCACTGAAAAGAACAACGCATGGCGACTTCTCGTATGCCACGTATGAGGCTAACTACTTAATGGAGGATGCTAGCCATGTGAGTATAACCCACTTCACTTCTCCTGCAGGCCCAAATGATGAGGTGATTTTGGTTTTTGTCTGGGTTTCTGTTTTAGTTTTTATTTGGTGTCAGTTTTGATTTATACGTTTATTTTCAAACTCAACTTCAATTTCTGTTTCCTCTTTTTTTTTTTTTTTTTTTCCTTAGACCGGGAGCATCAGTCGGCTGACTTTTTTCTATATTAAAACAAGCCAGTGTGAGGATTGAGCCCTCAAGAAGGGGCCTTGCCATGATGTACGTGTTCTGGGCGAAGGCCCCAGCAAGCCTAGTGCCTGCCCTAAGTGAAGGCGGGCCAGCAAATCAACAAGAGCCCTCTGTGCAAACATTTCCCGAAGTGGGGTCCATACAGTTGCAGCACGCCAGTTGGTTGGAGTGCACCGAGTCTCGAATCTCTGCAAATGTGGAGAACCCAGGGCCTCTGAGTTAGTTAGGCCTTGGGCACCTGAACGTGAGGCCGACAATGCACGCTGGGTATAGAGGCCGAAAATGCCAAAGGGGAATCGGCCCACTATCTGAATCTGGCCACAGGCCTTCACGAAAGAGGTGCAACTGCATCACCCGGGCCCCAACAGCATCGGGCCTGGGTTCAGGCACTGGGGCCCGGTCGCAGGCTGAAGGGAGGCCGCCCACACGCAGCACTGGCATATAGGCAAGCAGGGCGAGTGGGCGAGGATCTTTGGCCAATGCAGGCATTGCCGGCATGCTGCGCGAATGCAAGCAGGCTGCACAGTGTAAAGCTGCGTTGGGCAGAGGGAGGCAGACAGCGCTAATGCGGTGGTGCGCTGTCTGGGCGCAGGGCGCTGGCAGCCATAGCCAGGCTGCATGAGGGTGCAGGGGAGGTGAGGGCGAAGGTGGTTCTTCGGAGGTGAAGGGCGCTGTGTGGGTAGCAAGGGAGAGTGTGGGTGAAGAGGACACGTACCTGGTGGACGTGGAGGTCGGCATTGGTGTTGACATCATCACTCGCTGGTAGTCAAGTTGTCTGGTTGCTTTCATTGCTGTAGTTGTAGGCTTAGTCTGTAGAGTAGATAGGGCGCCTGGCGCCATTCATAAGAGAGAGCTACATTGGGTTATGTGTCTGGTTGCTTTCATTGTTGTAGTTGTAGGCTTAGTCTGTAGAGTAGATAGGGCGCCTGGCGCCATTCATAAGAGAGAGCTACATTGGGTTATGCTGTTGGTGTTGCCCTGTTGGGCATGGACATTGACTCACGATTCTTCTGTATCATTCTCAATTGGATGGTTACTCGGTTCCATTGTGCTATCTGCTCTGGCTTTGACTACTTGGACT